CACTGCCCTGCCTGACCTATCCAGAGGGTTTCAGAAGCCAGACCTCTAAGATTTGAGTTGAGTAACTAACTCCCCACTCCAGTGATACTGAGAGCCATCTTCTCCCCCGCTTTTTTTTTCTCAGCTGGAGAATTTAATTTGACTGTTTTATCAAAACTGCTGCTCCTGATAGATTAATGGCCCACTATATCTTTCAGATTAAGTTAATTGAGTGCAGAATGAATTTGCTAGATTTGAATGACATGCTCTAAGTTCAGCTCATCATTCTTTAAGAAAATATAAAATGAGAACCTCCAATCAGAGAGCCTGAATTATCACATATTTCCAGTTTCTCAGAGGTGTTTCCATTTTCAGCTGCCACACAGCACACTGAGTTAAATCAGGCAGCTCTCAGAGGACACGATTTCCAGTCTCCACCACAACTGAAAGAGCAGCCAAGGAGCCCTGCGGAAGCACTCCAGCTTTAGGTCCTCTCTCTTCATATGGCAGGAGTAACCCCATAGAACTTGCGTGAAGTCACTCTGTTAAGTGGTCAAGCTATAGGCAATGCTCCCTGAACTGACATCAGCAGCTTCGCTTTGTGAATCTTACTATTCTTTTTAACATAAGTGTTGTCTTTTCTCCTCCTTCCACTTGCCTCTTCCTCCATTCTGAATGTAGATAATAGCTTCCTCTTTAGGTTAGCTTTCCAACCTCATTTTTTCATTATGGTCCATTATGAACCCCAGGATATGGCTACATTGTGACTTGTGAATGCATTGTCAGCTTTGATCATAACTACAGGTATGTCTTAGAAACCAAGTGTCTCAGGGCTGAATTTATGATAGAAAAAGAAAGAAAGAAAGAAAGGAAGGAAGGAAGGAAGGAAGGAAGGAAGGAAGGAAGGAAGGAAGGAAGGAAGGAAGAAAACCAGAGAGACAGAGAAAGGATAAACATAAAGGGTGTCAAGAGCAAAGGTGAATTAAGAACCTCTGAAGATGGGGCTGAAGACCTGGCTCAGAGGTTAACAGCATGTACTGTTATTGCAGAAGACTGGAATTTGGTTCCCAGCACATGTCAGGTTACTCACAACCACCTGATGAAGGGGCTCCAACAAGTTGTACAGGCACACACATATGCATGCACACATACACACACACACACACACACACACACACACACACACACACACACACACACACACTGACAATGCTGAAAAAGAAATATTTTGAAAAGAACCTCTGTACATCCTCTCTTCTGCAGGCAATGATAACACTGGCAAATGGTCAGAATGGACTTTCTCACAATATTAAAAGGTAATCAAAAGCTTGAAAAAATCCAGGAAGCATTTATTCAAAAAACAAGGGTTCAACTCAAGTGAAGATATTAAATTTCCACAAAGAACTCCCAGATCTAGATGGCCTCAATGGTAAATTCTGCCAAGCATTTAAGCAGGAATTCCAATTCTTCACAAGCCCTTTCTAAAAGATGGAAGAAAAGTAAACACTCTCCCACTCATTCACTGACACTCCGATTATCTTAAAACCCAAACTAGACTGTCAGCAACTCCTATGAGCACAGACTAAGATCCATCATGAATATTGATACAAAAATCCTCAACAAATTTTCGCACACCAGGGCTGTGGAGTTGGCCAAGTTGGTAAAGCGCCTGCTGTACAAGCGTGAGGACGTGAGTCTGGATTCCTGGTATCTGTGCACAAGCTGGGCATAGTGGCACGCACCTGCAACCCCAGGTAGGGGTACAGACAAGCAGTTTCTTAGAGTTCACTGATCAGTCAGACCAGCCAATCAGTGAGCTCCAGGTTTGTGAAGACCCTGTCTCAGAAGAGAAGAGGAATAGAGGAAGATGCCTACTGTCAGACATTAATATTCAACTTCTACGTGTACACGTGCATGCACACGCGCGCGCGCACACACACACACGCATATGCGTGTGCACCTACATGTGTATGTACAAACACCTGTATATGAAGGAACACTAGCCCACTTGAGTATGTGGCTCTGGCACCCCTTGCCCTTCTCCCCATTCCCTCTGCCTTAACAAAAACCATTAGATTACGTTCCTAAAGCTAGCCCCCAAGGTCTATTCCCTTATGGGCCACTTTCTCCTCCTGAGGCTGACTACCCCAAAATCCAGCTATTGAAGTATTGAAGTCCAGCAATCAGAAGCCCCTTTCGCTCCCCTAATTAACATGCCCAATTAAAATTAAACACCTCATCCTAACATGGGGTTTCACCTTGTACTTTATAAACTGCCATTTGCCCATGAGTGCCATACCTTTATAAATGGCCATTTTCCTGTCTCCTCTTATCTTGCATGTAAAAAATTATCAGGAATCTATAATTAATCTATATGAGCCAATAAGTGTAGTGAGAGCTCAGCATATAAGATCAATATACAAAGCCCAATGCATAATCTAGATACATTCCATTTACACTTCAGGAATAAATTTATCAAAACAAGGGCATAACTATGAAATATTATTAAAGGAGATTAAATAAGATTTAAATGAAATTCTGTCTTGTTTTCAAGGATTGGAAAGCTATTATTTTTTTTAATCTTGAAGATTTAACCCACGGCCTCACACTTGCTAGGCAAGCATTTTACCATTGAGCTACTTCCCTACCACTTAGCGTTTTTATATGATTTATTTTCATTATTTTAATTATGTGTGTGTATGTGCCTATGTGTGCATATTACCACCTGACACAGATGCTAGAAATCAAACTAAAGTCCTATGGAAGAACAGTAAATGTTCTTACACACTGAGCCATCTTTTCAGGCCATCGCCTTCGCCCGCTCTTTATTTATTTATTTATTTATTTATTTATTTTGAAACAGGGGTTCAGTACGCAAGCTGAGCATGTCTTTGAACTTGCTATGAGGGCAGACTGGCCTTGAACTTCCATTAGTACTTCAGGCACTATCCCATTAGGCCTGACACTAAGTATTGTGAAGAGGACAATAGTCCCCAAAGTGATATACAAAAGCAATACCACCTCTATTAAATCCCAGCTGCCATCATTTCAGAACTAGACCCGCTGATCCTAAAGTATGTATGGAAATAAAAGAGTCCCAGAATAACCAAAATAATCCCAAGAAAGAACAGCTATGGAGGAAAGCTGACTGCCAGGCTCCCATCACCAGGACGGCTACTGGCATGAGAACAGAAAGACAGGCCAGCAGAACGAGCTGAGACCCCAGAGGGTGGGGCAGACATGGTTCCAGTAAATATTTCTACAAGAGTGCCAAGAGATTTAAAGAAAAAAATAGCCCTTCCAACCAATGCTACTTTGACAACTGAGTCAATCAGGAATGTCCTTTCACACAAAGATTAACTCAAAACACAGCAGAGGCTTAACCATAAAAGCCCAAACTATGAATCTCTTACAAGAGAAATGAGTGAGTCACTTCTACCTGGGAGTAAACAACTGGTTTCTTCGATGTTACAAAAATCACATGTGACAAAAAAAAATAAGAAAATGGAACTTCCTCAGAATCCAAAACGTTTATGTTTCAAAGGACACCACCAGGAAAGTGGAAGGGGGGCTGGAGAGATGTACTAGATGTTAAAAGCAATGGGTGTTATTTCAGAGGACCCACAATCGGTTCCCAGCACCCTCATCAAGTGCTGAGGTGCGGTGGGGGTTGTGCTGCAAGTGAAGCCCTCAGACAACTCTGGTAGGATCCTGAACAAGACAATCACCTTGGAAAACAGTGTGACAGCTCAGCAAAATCTCAAACTTGATCTCCACATGACCCAGAAATTTTACTCCTAGGTGTAATTCCAGAGAATTAAAAGTACATCTTCAAAAATGTACGTATATAAATATTCATTGCAGCAGTAGTCATAATAGCTCCAAACGAGAAACAACCCAATGTTTATTGTCCTCAAACTGGAGAAATGAAACTGATATACACGTGCACTAGATTATTATACAGCCATGAAAAGAGGTGAGGTTATGACAGATGTTATCACATGGAGGGAGCTTCACACTTGCTAAGTTAAATAAGTTAGACACAAAAGGCCACATAATGTGTTTTTCTTTTTCAAATTTTATTTTAGGTGTCTAGGCATTTTGTCCACATACATCTCTATGTAGTAATTGCAGGCTTAGTGCCCTGAGGTGCTAGAAAAGGAAATTAGATCCCTGGACCTAGAGTTACAGAAGGTTGTAGGCCATCAGGAAGGTGCTGGGAACTAAACTCAGGTCCTCTGCAAGAGCAGCCAGTGCTCTTAACTACTGAGCCATGGCTCCAGCCTCTCTGTTTTCCTATTTCTATGGAATGTCTGTAATAGATAAATCCAGAGAGACTAATTAGATTAGTGGTTTGGAGGCAAGGGCGGGGGAACCACTGCCTATGGTGACAGTTCTTTCTGGGGTGATAAAATTTTCTATGATTAAATGGTGGGAGGGTTACACAGCTTTGTGAGTATACTAAAAAAATTTAAAAAATAAAAAAAACAATTCTACACTCTAAAATGAAGAATTTTGTGATATGTAAATTACATGTCAATTTTTCTAAAAGGTCAATTTAATGAACCTGTCATATATTCACATAGTCAAGGCATGCATACAGAGAGGCAGGGGGCTGTCCAGCAGAGGACTCACACCTCTCTGCTCCTACTGTGGTCTCTAGTGGCAGTATCTGTAATACAGATTGCAAACACCCCACCCCACCCCGTTCACTCTCTCTCCGACCTAACAGATTCACACACTCAACTGTAGAAGGGTCCTGCCCACCTGCACTGGTCAAGCATGTTTACTATTTTGGTTTTTACTGATGCTTTGACATTTGAGCCCCTGCTGATCCTTGAGGGCTGTCCCTCCCTCCCAAGGCCAGCCAGCTACTAGAGGTAGTAAAGGGCCTGCCTTTCATAAGCAAACCATCCAATCAGGGAAGGAGGCTGAAATGATAGCAGAGCACATACACAATAGGAGGAGCTGGGTGGGGGAAGTGGGGCAGGCCTCCAGGCCCAAGACACAGCTCAACTCACAGTGTTCTTCCCACTCACGCTCCTCCCTCTCGCTGGCTTGGCAGTGCATCTGGGCCTGCTTCAGGGTCCAATAGAGTTCCTTGGCTCTCTGCTCCTCCTGGAGGCGAATCTGTTCTTCTCCTCGCCTCCTCTCTTCTTCCTCTTTCCTCTGAAAAATTATTAAGACAGAATGGCATTAGAATGGGGAACTGCCTGTGGGATTCTGCAGCTAGTCAAACTGAGCTGTCTGGGGTAGAGTGGCCCGCAGTTACTATTCCACTCTTGGTCCTTACACAATTGAAATGTGATAGTCACACTTGGTAAGGACCAAACGGTTTGCTGCAAATTTTATTTGCTGTTTTGCAGTACACGGGATTGAACCTAGAGCCTCATGCATGCTTAACAAGTTCCCACCACTGTGACATCCCAGTCCAGCAATGCGTAAACTCTAAAGCTTTCTGCAAAGATAAGAAGACTGAGCCATCCTCAGGCTTGCTTCCACTGGAAGTCAAGAAGGATTCCAGGTTCAGAGAGCAGTGTCTGATCTTTCTAGAGGCTGTCCTGGACATAGAGGGATGCCTTGACCAGTCTGGATATAGTATTGATAAGACCATAGGTCTACTGGTCTTAAATCTCTTGTTTTTTGCAAGTCCCACTTACAAGTTAAGAAAAGGTTGTATGTGTGTGTGTTTTCCTACCCTTGTTTACATGAAAAGAGCATTTATGCACTCAGAACTTACATAGGTGGCTAATGAAAAATAGTTCACCAACCCATCTCTTCCCCCACCCCAATGTACCATTCAGCCTTATATTTCACACAGGTGCTGGAAACGGAACTCAGGTCCCCATGCTTGTGTGGCAAGCTCTTTACTGTCCGAGTCAGCCTATATATCTGTCCCCTAATATTGTTCATTCTTGACTTACCAATTCTAAAGATTAAATTCTTCCTTTGATTTTTGTTACATGAGTCTTAAACAGCAGTGAACGTCCATATTGCAAGCCAAATATGTTGCTTGTTTCATCAATTATAAAGAGTATGTTTTTAAACCTTTTAACATACTTGCTTCTTGCATGTGCTGTATAACTCACAACTTTCCTTTCTACTAAGAACAGGTTTTTTTCCTTCTCACAATGATATGTTTCTATGATTAATGACATCTTAAATTATGTAAAATGTGGCAGGGAACGGGCTTTTCTTTCATGCATCTTTGCCATAGCTATTTTTTCCTGGCTTAATAATGGCTTCATCTTAAAGCAGGATATGGCATTTTCCCAAATTCCTATCAAGTATAGTAAGCCTTGTCTGAATTAAACCACATATGAGTTCTTGTAAACATGGCATCGCTCTCTTTTCCAGAGGGACACCCTTCCCCTGGGAGCCATTGTCCGTGCTCCTGTGGGCTGTGCTGGGCACTTCCTAGATGCCTCTCCATCCACACTCCAGGGCCCACCTCTGAACCTTCTCTGAGATGCAGCCCTGTATCCCTGCCTTCCTTCTGCAGCCACTTATCACAGAATGCACAGAGCCACTTTCTGAGTGTTTGCCTGAAAACACTGCTATGCCAGCCTCACAGTCAGCTACCGATTTAGCGGAGCACAGAACCTGATTAATTAAAATCATTGCTACCTTGTCTTCCAGCATTACTGTCACCTTTTCATCGGCTGCATAGGGTACTTGTTTTCCCCCTTGGAAATCTGCAGAGTCTCGTTACCATGGGTATTCTAAGGCATTTTCTTTTCTTTTCCTTTTTTTTAATTGAAAATAGATTCTTCTCTTATATAGCATATCCCAACCACAGCTTCCCCTCCCCCCCACTCCCCCTTCATTTCCCTTCAGAAAGGGGCAGAACATGGCCCACTGAATCAACTAAGCAGGGCTCATATGGGCTCATAGAGACTGAAGAGGCCAGCATGGGGCCTGCACGGGTCTGTCTGCCCCAGGCACTCTGTGTATATGATATATATGGCTATTAGCATGGTGTTTTTGTGGCACTCATAACAGTGGGAGCAGGTGTGTCTCTGTCTCTTTTGCACGATCTTGGGGCTCCTTTCCTCTTATTGAGTCGCTTATTGAGTCGCCTTGTCCAGCCTCTATATGAGAGCTTTTGCCTTTTCTTTTTCTTTTTTTTTCTTTAAAGACAGGGTTTCTCTGTGTAACAGTCCTGGCTGTTCTGAAACTCGTTTTTGTAGACCAGGCTGGCATTGATGATGCCTTGTCTTATTGTATCTTGTTTTGTCATGTTTGGTTGTTGATTCTAAAGCATTTTCAGTGGTGTGCCTTCAGTGAGGGTTTTCTTCAGACTAGAGCCTCGTGTCTGTCCAGTACAATACTTCTTCTTTGCCTGGATGAGTTCTCTCGCTTCTCTTTTTATAGGGCTCCTGTTTGCCAAGCTCTGGTCAGCTTGAGTCAATCTCCCATAGTCTCCATCTTTTCTCTCTTGTTTTCTACGTCTTGTCTTTTCTTGTTCTACTTCCTGGTTGAAGTCACTGACTTTATCTTCCAACTGTTTCAGCAGTCGTGAGCGGTTTTCTTTCTGTTGTGGCATGTGTGATTTTTAAGCCCTCGTTCTTATTTGCTAACTGTCTCTTTCATGTGGTTGCATCCTGTATTTGTTTCAGAAGTGTGACAGCCTAGCTCTCTGAAGATTGAGACCTCTGTCTTTCCCTCTGCTCTGGTTGAGATCTATTTCCTTTTTGGTTTGTTGCGTTTATTTGACTTAGTGCCTGCTATTCCTGGAAAAAGAAGGCTTTCTTCAGATATGCCCTCCCTGTCTGTTCACAGTGAAGAGGTAAGTCAGACTTGAAGGGGAAGCTAAGTATATAGCCAGCCTCCCTGAGAGAAGAGCTTCACTCTGTGGCCATTTCAGGAGGAACCAGCCATTTCTTTGACAAACCATCATGTGGAAGGTTTTAGAGCTACTTTCTGTGAGATTATCCAGTCTTCTATTCTTCCTGTGTGGTATCTGAACAGGAGTCAACCGTGAGCACGCTGCAGGCAGAATTAGGCTTAAATTCCCCAACCTGGGCCTCATGCTTCATGCAAAGTCATGATTTGAAATGCCTATTTGTCAATTTCTTCCTCCAGCTCTCTCTGAGAGGGGTAGCCCTGTTTTCCAAGGCCAGACAAGGTCCTACACGAGCTCTGGTCCCTGTTTATTCATTTCACATGTTCTCTGTCCCTCTCCCCAGTATCTGAGTGTGGACACCAGGCTGTGTCTTAAACTATGTAGAATAACAGCTTTCAGGCTGTGCTAGCCTTGAAATATTGCACTTTATAAAGCAAGAGTGTTGTTGGTTGTTTTTTCATCTTTACTCTTTGTTCTTTTTAACTCTTTGCGGGTGCCCACCACCAAGCTCTCAAGTAAATCACAGGGAGGCTTATTCTTACTTATGAATGCCCAGCCCTCACTTGGCTTGTTTCTAGCCAGCTTTTTCTCACAGAGCTAAACAAATGAACATAAAAGAATGTAACACATCTTTGCATCATTAAACAAATGTTCCACAGCATAAATGAATGTAACACATCTTAATGTAATAGTCCACAACACAAGTTTCTTATTACATCTTTAAAGTTTACTTTGTGTGCATGCTTATATGTGCTGTGGGGGAGGGGGCGCATGCATGACATGGCACTTAGGTAGAGATCAGAGAACAGTTTGTGGGACTTGGTTCTCTCCTTCTACAAGGTGGATCCCAGAGATGGGATTCAGGCCATCAGACTTAATAGCCAAAACATTTACTTGCTAAGCCCTACGATCATTCCCAAAGGAACAGTTTCGACCTGAGTTACTATACTCTAATACTCTAAGCCTAAGGGGTAAGATAACATAACTCTTCTAGTTAGGGTTACTAGAAGAGACACAGCAACTCTTATACAGAAAACATTTAATTAGGGTGGCTCACTTACAGTTTCAGAGGTTCAGTCCATTATCATCATGAAGGGGAGCATGGTCACATGCAGGCAGACATGGTGCTGGAGCTAAGAGTGCTCCATCTTGCAGGTAACAAGAAGTCAACTGACTGTCACATTGAGGGAAGCATACCAGGCTTTTTCTTTTGGGCCACCAACCAGCTCTCAAATCATGACTTGGAGACTTATTACTAGTTATAAATGTGTGGCCTTATCTTAGCTCTTATCATAATCTGTTTCTCTTTATCTACATTTTTGCCTCAGGGCTTTTTACCTCTCTTTCTTTCTGTATATCTTACTTTCCTGCTTCTCATGTCTGGCTGGCTAGTGGCTGCCTGGTTTCTGGCCCCAGATATGTCCCGCTCTTTCTCCCTCATTCTCTTCTCCTTTTTCTCTTTCAAGCCTAGATTTCTCCTCCTACTTATTCTCTTCACCCATGAGCCCCACCTATCCCTTTCCTGCCTAGCTACTGGCCATTCAGCTTTTTATTAGACCAGTCCGGTGCCTCAGGCAGGCAAGGTGAATACAACACATCTTTACATAATTAAACAAATACAGCACAAACAAATGTAACACATCTCTGCCTAGTTAAAATAATATTCCATGACAGGGAAGCTTGAGCAAAACAGACCTCAAAGCCCACCCCCACAGTGACAACAAGGCCACACCTCCTAATAGTGCCACTCCCTTGGGGGCCATTTTCTTTCAAACTACCACAATGTCATTATAACTTGTTCATTCAAATAAATAACCACCATCACAAGGCACAAACTGATAAATAATGTATTTGTATCAATAAAGTATCATGCATGTGAATATATGGAATCATATTGGAAACACTGTACATGATTTTATCAGTCATACCAGATGTAAACCTCTCACCTGAGATTATAAAAAGGAGCAAACAAGACTGAGATACAGAAGGCATACTGACCTACCACCCAGTCACTTGTCACAAGTTTCATCCTGAAAAATTGCTACAGCAAAGGACTTCTGCCTTTGCCCCCCAGGCTCCAGCTCAAGCCATTTCTCTTGCCTATGACAATTGTAAAATAACATTCAAAACTGCCAGCTACCTGGCATCTGACCACTCTGTGCTTTGAACAGCTCTACAGCTGTGGTTTGTAAAACTACTTATCTGGTTCTCTGCTGAAGCTCTCCCTTACATCTAGAGAGCCTCTTTGCCTCCGCTGAAGCCCGCATGCCTCTTTGATCTGTCCAAGGCCATGCGTAGCATGTACTCACTACTCTACCATGTG